CTACCACAGAGGTTACACTGCTGTCACCGCTCTATCACAGAGGTTGGTCTACACTGCTGTGAGATCGGTAGGCCCGAGCGAGCTCTGGAAAGAGAAATGTAGATGGATTTTCTCATCAGCTGACTCCCTGGTCAGGCTTTGATGGGTGCTAGATGAGAGTGAGCACAAGGGGCGAAGGCGCGCTTGTGTCTCATCTCAACAACAAAACAAAAACAAGAAACAAGCAGCAAAAACACAGCAGGTTCCGAACGTCTCCGGAGTAATGGCCCGAGTACCGGAATTTCGGGGTTCGGAACAATAAAACAACTACAGTCTCGCCTGCCAAATTATCTCCGCTACAACTCTGTGCTCATGTTCTCTGCTGAGTACCATCTCTTCTTTCTGTATTATGTCTACGGAAGGCTAGTTGCCGCAGTCGCACCTATGGTAAACTGTGCCTGACTACGTTGTAACAGTTTTCCTCGACACCCTACACCATGGCGATACGTCGGATTTAGGCTGCACGTGCACTTGCGGGTTTTGCTCTAATGGAGCTTGTCGAACCTTCCTGCCGTTCGCCACGGCGAAGTCGGTGCACGGCATGGGGGTCCTGAGTGACCTGCTCCTGAGCGAAAAGGTCTTCCTCTACAGAGGCGAAGAGGCCAACGACGTCAAGGCACATAGGTCGACCTGTGTTTCAGGGCATTGCCTGACAGGCCAGCGAAGGCAAGCGGCATTCTTCGGTTGCCCTCGTCATCACGTCAGTACCGATCGACGCGTCCTTGCTTCTTCCGCGGCCTTGGGCGCCATGGCTAGCACCAGCGAAGGACAGGCAGGAAAGGTTAAGTGGTCCATGTTTACTGCTGTGGATGCTGAAGGACGCCCAACGGACGCCTGGCGCCGCGCGTGACCGCAGCCAGCCGACGACGATGACGGCGACTGGGCAACAAAAGTGGCGTCGGATTCACCTAGGACGAAAAAGGTGAACGCGAGGTATATCTTGCTAGGTCATTGTACTGTAGTCACCGCGGGTCTCGTTAATCCTATCCGGTGCTTCCCCACTCGCTTAATCTCCTCGGCTTTCCTGAGTTCGGCTGGCTGGTGTGGTTTGTGCAGACCTACGGCACCGGGTATTACATCTCGGCCGATCAGCGGCGACGTCAAAATGACGGCTATTTTATTGTAGTAGGTATGGTTAGTGCAGACATAACGCAGTGGGTATCGCCTCCTCGGTCGACCAGCGGCCACGTGAAAATGACGGGTAGTAGGTGTGGTTTGTGCGGACATACGGCAGCGGGTATCGCCTCCTCGGCCGATCAGCGGCCACGTGAAAATGAGTTTATTTCCCTAGTTTGCCACCGGGAACAATTCATGAACGCTTCTTAACCCTTTTGGGTCTTCAGGCCTCCTGACAAATGATTGATAGCTGATTGTATCTTTGTTTTTTTCCTTGAAATCCTCGAACAGACGGTCTCGTCGTAGAGGGGAGGCTGGGAATCAATCCCCGAACCTACACGCATGGAGTTGTCTAGCACAGCAAGCCAGCGAGAGCCCGCCTCCCCTCCCCGCCACACACGAACACAAGAAGCATCCACAGAGGTCACCGAGAGCTCTCGGGGATGCCTCTACGCGCCGCGTGGTCTGTCCTGTCTGTCTGGGCGGCGTTGTTGGTAGCGCTTGAGGTTGCGTTGCCGGCAGCGCCAGTTGGTGTTCCTCCTTGTACATCAGAGTACGTCTCGCTCGTGCAGCAATCCACCCTTGCTTTGCACGCTGGCACTGAGGCCAGCGAGCTTGGCATGGAGGACAGCGGTTCTTATGTCGACCCAAATGAGGCTAGTGATGATGAGGATGATGATGCCGAGTTTGATATGGGCCATCGTACAAACCGCTGTACGCTGCGAACTCGCACAACTCTGGTCTCAACACGCGAGGGGCAGCTCGGCGGCAGCGACAACAATCGACCACGGCATCACCGGTCACGCCGCCGCTCCGGACGGTCTCGCGTGAGCCGCAACAGCTGCAGCTGCAGCGGCAACAGCAACAACAGCAGCATGAACGATGTCCACCGGAGCCTTCTCCTGCCAATAACTCGAACTCGCCTGACATATGTGACANGTCACGCAGCAGCAGCAGCAGCTGCAGCAGCAGCAACCAGCCTCACCAGATGCTTCTCCGGTCAACTCTGCTGTATGTGTCGCCACCGTAGCCCGCGGCCGAAACAAAGGCCAAAAGTGCGGCAATAAAGTTGGAGGTAGGGTGCCAGGATTGTGCAGGCACCATGACGGCCAACAGAAGCGCCGCAAAACAGCATCTGGTGTAGCTCTTGGAAGTGTGTGGCACCTCAAGCTCCAGAAGCAGGAAAAACCCAAGGTGAGGCACATAGCGTTAGCCTAATTTCTAGCGCTGGTGTGTTTTCCTAGAAATGTCTCCCTGCATAATACTTTTAACGCCACGAGTACACAACGGTGCCGCTTCTGTCTCTGTTCGATAGCGATACACATTTTTCTCATGTAGGTGTTTGGTTCACAGCGGTATCATCGACCGCGCTTTTTAAGCGTCTGACCAATGCAAAGTTTTGGAGTCGCTAATTGCTTTAGGTGTCATCTGTGCCTGTTGTACTCTGACCAAACGTATACTCTTGAGCCTGCCTCATGCCATGTGTTATTTGGTACTGTTGTTCGATTCAGTTCCTTCAGGTGCATTACTAGTTTCTATCGAATGAGCTCCATCCCCTTCGGTGTTTGTTGTTGGCATTTTCCAGGAAGGTCAACCACCTCCACCGCCCCTCCTGGAAGATCCTCTGGGGTGGGTGTTGAAGGGACTATCGCGGGACGAGTCATCCGAGCCGTAAACCCGGAGAAACAAGCATCCCGGCGGCGACAACTCATGTGTTATTTGGTACTGTTGTTCGATTCAGTTCCTTCAGGTGCATTACTAGTTTCTATCGAATGAGCTCCATCCCCTTCGGTGTTTGTTGTTGGCATTTTCCAGGAAGGTCAACCACCTCCACCGCCCCTCCTGGAAGATCCTCTGGGGTGGGTGTTGAAGGGACTATCGCGGGACGAGTCATCCGAGCCGTAAACCCGGAGAAACAAGCATCCCGGCGGCGACAACTCCTGTGTTATTTGGTACTGTTGTTCGATTCAGTTCCTTCAGGTGCATTACTAGTTTCTATCGAATGAGCTCCATCCCCTTCGGTGTTTGTTGTTGGCATTTTCCAGGAAGGTCAACCACCTCCACCGCCCCTCCTGGAAGATCCTCTGGGGTGGGTGTTGAAGGGACTATCGCGGGACGAGTCATCCGAGCCGTAAACCCGGAGAAACAAGCATCCCGGCGGCGACAACTTCAGCCTTTCGGACGACCTGAAGGCGAGCCTACCGAAGGTCGACAAAGCAGGGCTATCAGTTTTGCGGTCTTTCGTCAACGGCAAGGGCCAGGCTCTACCATTCACGTTCTTCGAAAATACATTCCCGAAGGAGGCGCAGGACATCCTNTCATCCGAGCCGTAAACCCGGAGAAACAAGCATCCCGGCGGCGACAACTTCAGCCTTTCGGACGACCTGAAGGCGAGCCTACCGAAGGTCGACAAAGCAGGGCTATCAGTTTTGCGGTCTTTCGTCAACGGCAAGGGCCAGGCTCTACCATTCACGTTCTTCGAGAAGACATTCCCGAAGGAGGCGCAGGACATCCTCCTGAAGGAGGTGATGAAACCCAGGCTGGTTGTGCGTGACTTAGTTTTTTTTTGCGAGTTTCCCCCCCAAATCGTTGTTGTTTTTTGCGAACGACAAGAGAGGGGTGGGGTTGTGTTTAAGTCACTCGCGACCGGAGTGTGCAAGAGTAGAACGGCCACAACTTTCACAGTAACGTAGCGCGGACAATAGGTCGCGGTGCAGTATCCACCGTGCTGTTGTACCTCGTTGTGTAAGTGAGGGCCATCGGTTTATCGTTATATGTTGAGATGTACAGGCGTCAGGCCCCGCTGGCCGGGGGGGGGGAAGGCTCCCAGAAACCAGTACGTATCAGAGTCGACGAAATGCAAAATGCAACACCAAAGGCAGGCAGCGACAACGTGTGAAAATAGTCCTGGTGCAGTCCTTGGCGCTGCAAGCAGCTGAGATCGCCAGCAGCATGTATACGTTGAACATTCCACGGGACAATCGAGACTCACGTATGTGTGTCTTCATGTCCACATGTATACTCCAGCATGTTTGCGGTGTGAACCACCAACTGCCAAGAGATTTGGCATCCTTTTCCAATTGGGTTTCACAGAATCCCTCTTGTGTCCCTCCCCTTCCCGCGCCGTTGTATCCCGCCGCTTCCCGCCACTTCACCAGACGAACAGGTATGTGAACTTCTGCGCCGACGAGTCTGATCCGCCGCCGGAACACCAGGAAGACCGGCACAGGAAGAAGAAGGTGGTTCGTGGATTTCAGGAGGTTCCGTCGAAGGAGATGGCGGACGGATCTCGAGAGTACGCCTTCGAGCGCAAGCACCTGTACGGCGTGATGGGTATCCTCATCACCACCGGACTGACCAAGAAGCCGAGGATCATCGATCACTGGGGCGTCGAAGCCCACGACAACTACCCCCTGGTCCGGGCCTGCATGCCTCGAGACCTCTTCATCCTGTTCTACGGCCGCTTCTTCCACTTGGCACCTCCCAACGGCAAGCTCAAGAAGGATGATCCCCAGTACGACAGCAAACACCACATCAGGTATGCCCCATAGAAAAATACGCACGCCAACAGACAGCAATTGTATGTACGGTGGATGGGTATGTTTTATTTTCAGTTTTTGGGGACCAATATGGGGTGATGTTTGCCCTTGGCGCTGTGTCGTCTCCTTCGCCCTCTCAGCAGAATGGCCTAAATATTGCTGAATAGAAATTGGTCGAATACAAACCGTTTGGGCCCACCGGAAGCTGCTTTGAAACAAAGTGTGTGTCGTAATCGGAACACGAAACATCCGTATCGGTGTTGGCCTTCAAATTCCTCAGGTTGCGTGAGTTATCATGAATCGCTGGTTGGGGGAGCAATACGCATGTATGTCCAGCGCCCCCCCCCCCGGCTCCGAGTAGTATTACGAACTGCAATAAGTACTTTCATCCCGCCGGGTAGCTCCGGCGATGCCGCGGTCCGACGGTTCTGTGTTTGCATTACAAGTGTGCACCCCGTCAAACACTGCAAATGATTTGTATCTGCTACTCTTGGCAGAGAGCTGGAGGACGTGTTGAACGAGTGCTGGAGCAAGCTTGTGGAACCGGGCGCATGGCTATCGCACGACGAGCAGATGGTGAAGAGCACGGCGAGAGCGATGTTTGCGTTGATGAGGTTCAACAAAACGAAGCCCATCAAGACCGGTGACGTGGAAAACGGATGCCCGAGTAGACCCTTGCCCTTCCATTCCTTGAGTGATCTCCTTCGCCCTCTCAGCAGAATGGCCTAAATATTGCTGAATAGAAATTGGTCGAATACAAACCGTTTGGGCCCACAGGAAGCTGCTTTGAAACAAAGTGTGTGTCGTAATCGGAACACGAAACATTCGTATCGGTGTTGGCCTTCAAATTCCTCAGGTTGCGTGAGTTATCATGAATCGCTGGTTGGGGGAGCAATACGCATGTATGTCCAGCGCCTCCCCCCCCGGCTCCGAGTAGTATTACTGCAATCAGTACTTCCATCCCGCCGGGTAGCTCCGGCGATGCCGCGGTTCGACGGTTCTGTGTTTGCATTACAAGTGTGCACCCCGTCAGACACTGCAAATGATTTGTATCTGCTACTCTTGGCAGAGAGCTGGAGGACGTGTTGAACGAGTGCTGGAGCAAGCTTGTGGAACCGGGCGCATGGCTATCGTACGACGAGCAGATGGTGAAGAGCACGGCGAGAGCGATGTTTGCGTTGATGAGGTTCAACAAGACGAAGCCTATCAAGACCGGTGAGGTGGAAAACGGATGCCCGAGTAGACCCTTGCCCTTCCATTCCTTGAGTGTGACGTCGGCGGCATCATCGGTTCCGAGACGCGTGCACGTCAATAGTCGTCCCGCACACCGACGTCCCCCCCCCCCGTAGGTCCCCCTCTAACATTTTGCAGTTCACTTTTGTTGGAGTCCAGCGCCACTACGCGGCGCGCGTGGG